AAGCCCGAGCGAGCTCCAAGCAGTTGTCGTGAGACCTGCATCCCCACCGCGTCTCCCGGATGATTTAGTGCAAGTTGGCACAGCTTCTTGCATGAGGTCCTTGGGCAGCACCGTGAGGGAAAACTTCTTCGCTGCCCTGGGAAGCAGGGCTGAACCTACAGCAGAGTTTGCGCGTTGAATTTTCGCGAGAGAGAGAGAGAGAGAGAGGAGAGGAGAGGGAGAGGGAGAGGGAGAGAGGGAGAGGGAGAGGGAAGAGGGAGAGGGAGAGGGAGGAGGGAGAGGAGAGGGGAGAGGAGAGGGGGGAGAGGGAGAGAAAAAGGGAAAGGAGAGGGAGAGGGAGAGGGAGAGGGAGAGGGAGAGGGAGAGGGAGAGGGGGAGGGGGAGGGGGAGGGGGAGGGAGAGAGAGAGAGACAGGCAGACAGCCAGACAGACAGACCGACAGACAGAGAGACAGAGAGACCGACAGACAGAGAGACAGAGAGACAGAGAGACGGAGAGACGGAGAGACGGAGAGACGGAGAGACGGAGAGACGGAGCGACGGAGAGACGGAGAGACGGCGGAGAGACGGCGGAGAGACGGCGGAGAGACGGCGGAGAGACGGAGGAGAGACGGAGGAGAGACGGAGGAGAGACGGAGGAGAGACGGAGGAGAGACGGAGGAGAGACGGAGGAGAGACGGAGGAGAGACGGAGGAGAGACGGAGGAGAGACGGAGGAGAGACGGAAAGACGGAGAGACGGAGAGACGGAGAGACGGAGCGACGGAGCGACGGAGAGACGGAGAGACGGAGAGACGGAGAGACGGAGCGACGGAGAGGCGGAGAGACGGTGGAGAGACGGCGGAGAGACGGCGGAGAGACGGAGGAGAGACGGAGGAGAGACGGAGGAGAGACGGAGGAGAGACGGAGGAGAGACGGAGGAGAGACGGAGAGACGGAGAGACGGAGCGACGGAGCGACGGAGAGACGGAGAGACGGAGAGACGGAGAGACGGAGAGACGGAGCGACGGAGAGACGGAGAGACAGTGAGACAGAGAGACAGAGAGACAGAGAGCCAGAGAGGCAGAGAGACAGAGAGACAGAGAGACACAGAGACACACAGAGAGAGAGAGAGAGAGACGCCCCGTAGAAGAAGAAGGAGAAGAAGAAGAAGAAGAAGAAGAAGAAGCAGAAGCAGAACACAGAGAGACGGAGAGACAGAGAGAGACAGAGAGAGACAGGGAGAGACAGGGAGAGACAGGGAGAGACAGAGAGAGACAGAGAGAGACACAGAGCGAGTTTTAGCGAGCACTGAGACGCAAACGGACGGGGGCGCGCACCAGCGCGGGGGGTCACCCCCATGCCCCAACGAAAGAAAGAAAGAAAGAGACACAGAGAGAGAGACAGAGAGAGAGGTTATCACCGGCAATCATTCGCTCCGCAAACGAGGGGCGTGCTGACCGTGCGCGGGCAAGGGGGGAACCAGAGACACACAGAGACAGAGACAGAGAGAGAGGTTATCACCTCCGCAAACGAGGGGCGTGCTGACCGTGCGCGGGCAAGGGGGGAACCAGAGACACACAGAGACAGAGACAGAGAGAGAGGTTATCACCTCCGCAAACGAGGGGCGTGCTGACCGTGCGCGGGCAAGGGGGGAACTGGATCCTATGCCCCATGAAAGGAAGAAACCAAAGGACGAAAGGAATGAAGAAAGGAAGAATAGAGGGAGAGGGAACGCGAGAGACTTTTCAACAAGAGGAGTTCCCATTGCTTGCAGCATTGCTTACAGCATGGCAGAGGAGGAGAGCAACAGCTGCAACAGCAATACTGTCTGGATGGCCAAGGAAAGCACCTGCAGCTGCCCAGTGCCAAGCCCGAGGCATACTCGACTAACATGTGTGTTGGTCTTCAGCAGAGGGGTAGAGGTGGGGGTTAGAGATGGTCAGCATACGACTTCGCTTGGCGCGCGAGCTTTATTCGCGACCCTTCAGGAAACGGAGTCTCCTTCACTGGAAGAATCCCCGAAGCGTAGCAGGGCATCGCGGACAGTCTGCCTGATCCCGGAAATCTACTTGTTCTATCATCCAAACCTCAATATCAGGAGCTTTTCGGCTTTGAGTAAACCTGGCAGGCTGCCTCGCAGAGTCGGCCAAGTTCGCCCCAAGCGCTCCAAGGTGGCTCCGCAGAGACTCGCAAGACATTTTGCAAGACCTCAGCGTTCTAATCGAGATCCGATTGAAGTGGAGGCCCCACCCCGGCTAGTTACATGTGAAAACAGGCGGCAGAGGCAAAAGAGGCCAAACTGCCCAGTGCGCTGATCCTCCCAAACCTTCGAACCTTGGCGAGGCGTTTCCGGGTTACCGGCGCAAGTCAGCCAGGCCGGCCAGGCCGGCCAGGCCGGATGCTGTTCACACCCTTCAATGGTCCACCCTTCCCCTTATGAACAAGTTCCCCGGAAGCACGGGAGTTCCGGGAAACATGGAAGCGCAGAAGTGCTCTTGGTCCTCAGCTCATGGGGACAGCTCGGGGCTGTGCAGGCACCTGGGTTTGCCACAGAAGCAAACAGAAACAAACTGAAAAATGCAAGGAGGCCTCCGTTCAGGACAGGATGTCATGCGATCTCGTTTTGATTTGGGCTTTTGGCTTCGACAAGGTCTACTCAAGTCTACTCCCCACCCCTTCCAAAAGCCACCACTGGAACAGGGATGCCTGTGCCTGCCCTGCAGGCTCTAACCTTCCAAAGTCTGAGTCCGATTGCACTCCTCGGGAACCCGGTCCGCCGTGTGCCAGACTCGATGTAACAGCTTCGTGGGTTTAAGCTCAGGACTTGGGGTGCGGGGTTCCGGAAGGTCGCCTTGAATTCTTGCAGGCTCCTGTGCCGCCCGGGGCCACGGATGAGGCCGAGCCCGCGGATAAAGAGATGCAGTGTAGGTCTCCAGACCACAAGGCTTCACAGTTCTGTTGTCAATTTCTTCCGGCGCTTCCGTCGTCTCGATCGTCTGCACCGTCTCCACCGTCGTCGTCGCCGCGTCGCCGCGTCGCTGTCTTGCCGTCGTCGCCGCTGTCACCGCCGTCTCTTCGCGGTCGCCGTCGCGGTGGTCGCCGTCGTGGCTGCCGTCGTTGTTGCCATCGTTGTTGCCGTCGTTGTTGCCGCCATCGCAGCTGTCACCGCAGCTGTCGCTGCAGAAGCTGCCCCTGCCGCTGCCGCTGCCGCTGCCGCTGCTGCTGCCGCCGCCGCTGCTGCTCTTGTGTTCTCGTTCGATCGCGGCTTAGGCTTTTTGTGCAGGTGTGCAAAGGTTTTGAGGGACCCTTATCCGCAGTGGCCCTCTCCCAAGCATCTGTTTTGTTCGGGCCAGCTACGCTTATAGTCTCAGCGGCCTGAAGACTCAAAAGGCGCAATTCGTGAGACATCATGCCAAGCACGCCCGAGGGCCAAACTCGCACCTTCAGCCCTAGAAGCATTGCCTGGACGTTCCTGAATGAGCTCCAGCACCAACTTCAATCACTCTCGTCCGTAAGCCGTAAGGGCCTTTTCAGCACTTTCGGCAGGCGATGGTCGATGTCGATTTCGGTTTCTTCGACGTTAGCGCCACACCCAAAGTCTCGGGCTGAGCTTGCTCTCATTGTTAGGGTTATTCAACGCCCTCGGTGAAGTGACTGTGTGAGGAGACGGCAGCCGCCGATATCGAAAGTCTGTCCTCCAAACAATAGATTTTCTTGCTTTTAGCCGAACGCGGGGTCGCCCTGGTAGAAGATCAACTCTTCTGTTCGTGTCGGCATGCGGCCTCCAATCAACCTCACGTGGCCAGCTCTTTTAGGAAGGCGAGGGTTGTTTCCATTGCATGGCTTTTTTTGTCCTAGCAATCCTTCGCGCGTGATTTTAGTGTTATTCCCTTCGTTATGAGTTATGTGGTCAAAACGCCCATTGAATCTGAGCGACGTGAACATGATGAGCGAGCGAACTGAAACACAGTCGTTTACGGAAGCCTCCAAAAAAATCTGGATGGGAAGCGTAGCAGAAAAGTTAGTTTTTGCTTGTTTTTTTGCGTAGTGGGCTGGCCAAAGGTTCCTTGACATACACAGACGATGGCTTTTGTATCACTGTCCGCGGGCATCTTCGATGGGCTTCCTGAAGCCGGTGCCCTTCCCCCCCTCATTTCCCCCCCACCCAAAAGAGCGTCCTTTTCAGAGATCTTCAGAGCCCTCTCCTGTTTTTTCTCCGAATTCTCCGGGCCCCAAGGTGCCAGCACCGACACAGGTCTCGGCAGGTGCTGGCCTTGGAGTGTGAGCGGAAGATAGCAAGACAGAGTCGTGAGCAAAACATCGCATTTTCAACCTGCGCAGGTTTGGGAGTTCAAAGGGGAGGGATTTGGACCCTCAAAGGCGATCTTGGTAACAAAAAAGTGGGTGCTACTTTGTCTCGCTATAGCAGCTTGAGCACTCTGCTGTTACCAAAAGAGCCCCAATCTTACGCATTGTAGAATTTCACTCGGGACTGAAACTTGAACTTGCAGATGAAGCATGGGTTGAGCATCAGAGCAGGCATTTGGTCTTGCCCAGGGTTGGAGAGTGGATATCATGAGCGCGGGCAGACAGAAGCATGAACATCAGCAGCGGGCAGTTGGGCTGTGCAGGGTTTGAAGAGTGAGCATCACGAGCATCAGCAGCGGGTGTTTGGGCCTGCCACGAAGCATCACGAGCATCATCAGGCGGGTGTTGGGGCCTGCAACGGCGAATCATGAGCATCAGCAGCGGGTGTTTGGGCCTGCCACGGCGCATCATGAGCATCAGCAGCGGGTGTTTGGGCCTGCGGCTTGCCACGAGCATCACGAGTATCAGCGGCCATGTTGTTTTGCTTGGGCAAGCTCAGACATCGACTTATAATGCGTTCGAAGCCAACAGTAAGCAATGCATGCGTACTTTCTGTGGCCGAGCATGCCTTAGGCGATGCAGACGTGCTCTCGCAGGCTCGGACAGATGCTTTGTTTCCAGACCCCAAGAATTTCAAGCTTCCATGCGAGGTCGATGGTAGCGCCTAGGACTGTCTAGGAGAAAAAAGGAGTTTAGGGGCTCGCGTCGTGGCTGCTTTGGTGGTGATCGTATTTGCCCGTTTGCCGTCGTATCGAGGGCTGTGCAATTTCTCCGGATGCTCTATGTAACTTGGTGGTATACATACCCTAGTATTGCAAGTTTCGGTATGTGTGTAGATGTATGATACGCTCTGCACTCCTTGCAGTGCCAGGCGCTCTCCTCTGTGGGCCTCCCGACCTCCACGGTCGCCACAACGTCCACCACGTCCGCCACGTCCACGCCCCCGGAGCTCACATCGGCAGAGACAGGACCGTTCGGAAAATTGGAAAAATGCGAGATGCTCGAGTCCGAAACAAGACAGATCCTATCTCTGACTGCCTTCATTTTCTTGCACCGCCGTTTCCTTTTGCATGGCCCAGTAAAAGATCTGATCTCGGGTCTTCCCCCCTGCGGAGGAGCTCCTCAGGTTAAGAAGAAGAAGAAGGGCATGACGCAGAAGGCCCCCCGAGGGGGCTATTGGGGGTTCCAGCCTCTCAGCACGTTGAGGTGGCTTGTCATATGGTTCTCCTGCCCATGACCCCAAATCCTTCTCCCAGCTCCAATGAATGAACTGGGGGGGCTCTAGGGTTTACAACGAGTTCCCAGGTGAAGAACTTCCTCTCGGGCCTTCCGGACCTGAAGCACCTGTATTCCAAGTCCGTGGTGGAGTGAGCTTTCTCCGCCAAGGCTTTGTTAACGAGATTTTCGAGACTTTCTGGGGCGGGGGGATGGTCAGCGGTTTATAGCCTTTTGATTGTATCCCTCCTCGGCGTCGCGCGCGTCCAACCTCCAAGCCCTTTCAAGCCCTTTCAAACTGCCTTCATATTCACGACCTTTCATAGTTTACCACACGCCCTCGGGTTGAGAGCCAAAACCCCAAATTGAGAGCAGTACCCTCCTTTCGTCTTCTCCTGGCTCGGGTACTACACATGAGCTGTCACCCTGATCAACCAAATTCAAAGTACCGGAAGCGAAAACCGCTGTGGATTTCCAACTGTTCCAGGCTCATGACTTCTAGATTCGAGTTGTTCAGGTGGTTCGGGATTTGGGGGTACACCCCTGATCCTGATGCGATTGATTCCCGTTTCACCCTGCACCGCGTGAGGGAGAGCAGCAAGTCGAGATGGAGACTCTGGACCCCAACTATCCGTGACTATCCCCAAATCTTATAGCCCTTAATTAATTGGCCCTCAGCCACCTTCACGACAAAGTAGTTTCTCTTTTGGGCGATGTTTTTTCGAGACTGGGGACCGTGCTTGGTGAGCATCATGTGTTCCATGGTTTCATGCGTCTCTACTGCAACTCAAACCTTTTGCATCTGAGCCTCGCATGCTTCACTCTTTCCGCGGCCAAAGTAGGCCCAGGCCATCCCAGGGGTCCTTGCTGCTCCTGGGGGCCATGGCCCGGATGCGGGTAAAAGACGCGAGGAGGTTTGCCTGCTAGGGGGGGGGCTCTAAGACTCTTAAGACTCTTAAGCAGGATCATCAAGAAGATCCCCAAGCATGAGTAGAAGTCAGCCGTTAAGGGTGACCGGTTGACGCGAGCCTGATCCTTTCAGTAGGAAGCATCAGCTTCTCTGGACTTTTCAGCCGGAGACAACCGAAGGACTTCAAAATTGCATCTGCATCAGGACAACGAAGTCACACTATTCACACTATATGTGCACGAAGTTTGAACGTCTGCGAAAAGTGCGAACCGAAGCGCGAAGAGAGAGGTACGCTGGCGGGTGGCCCTGCTGGGCGGCCACATCCGGCTGCTGGCGCCTTTTGCCAGGCCGCTGATGACGGTGGCCAAGGCACCGATCCGACAGAAAAAACTCGAATCCCCCCAAGCGCACGGGCAGCCTTTGCCATTGCGCATTTTTTCATGGCGCTCAAAGCCCGGGAACCTCAAACTCCAAGTCCCCAAACGTCGCCCCGGAACTACGTAAACTATTGCAAGGATACAACAAGCAGCAACCACTTGGGCTTTCTGGGTGGATGCCCCTGATACCCAATCCTCAAATTTCGAGGCCGAGTTTGCCCCGCCCCTTTGGGTGGTTGCCGCTTTGCCGGTGCTCCTCAGTGCCGTGGGAGCTGCAGGGGCGCCCAGATTGGTCGAACACGGGGAGCACCAGAAAGTCTCAGAAAGTACTTAAGTCCACTCATTCTGTATGCGGCTACTGCTGGACACGTGCTCAATTTGGCCAAGTGCAAATTTTTGTAGAGCCGTTGAAGTTCGTGCTCCGGGCCGCCTATTCTGCAGCTTCCATAAAACGCAATTGTTCTTGAAAGGGGCTTTCGTTTCATGAGTTGCTTTCTGCGCTGTCGGAGTGGGGCCTTGGACCGTAGAGAAACTGGCACTCTCGTGCTACGGTAGAACTTCCACAGTTGCTCGCAATGAGTCCTATTCTTTTTCTTAGGTTTGCAGGGCGGTGGTGAGGTGATTCAATGAAGCAAGGAGGAGGGTAATTAGCATGTGTCTGGAGACGAAGAGTTTCTAGCTGATTCTAGCCAATTTGCCCGGAGCAAAGCGTGAGGCAGAGAGATAGGCAGAGACTGGGAAACATTGCACTACCTTACTCCGCCAGTGACACAGTGCCACCGTGTAGCCATGTATCAAAAGCCCGAGGGTTGATTCCCATGATCTCCACCCCAAACACCAAACTCCCCCCTAGAAAGTGGAACGCGCCCAACGCTTCCAACACCCTCCTGAGACTGTTCTTGACTCTTCAGAGGCTGATCCGAAATTCAGAATTCACGGCGCTCCCCCACAGGCCCTTGCCATGACGTGCGTGAGATGGCCTGGAGCCGGGGGCGGAGCCGGGAGCAAGCAGGGCCTCGACTAGGGCACTTATAGGGGATTCCATGAAGAAATTAACTTGAAAGCTTTGCTGTGCGTATTTATTTGAGTAAGTTTGAAGTACATTGTATCTGCCTTTTGGGGATTTGGTGCTCGGCCTCGGGGTCGCTGTGCCTCCCAGGCGCGCGGGCAAGTACTCGCTTCCGGCATCTATGCGCTCGTTCGGGGCATGGCATAGTGCTGCATTAAGCATCCATTTGAGGAGAATAGGCCAAGAACCAAATTCCCTAAGTGCTTCACAGTCAGACTGGGCTGGGAATAGTGCTATAGGCTTCGCATACTAAAAAAAGAGCTGGCGTTTGCATTCGAAGGTCTCCTGTGCAAATCTTGGCAGCGCACCCCGGAAAGAAGGGGGCTGACAGCTCAGAGGCGAAAGCGACAGGCACGTCCATCCCCGAAGCCCTTGTAGCCAGCTCGTAGCGTTTGCTTTATGCCGGTTGTTCTGTACACCGTGGTGGCGCTTCAACTTAAACTTAGGGTGGCTTACGGTGGCTTGCAACGCCGAAGGGCCGTTGAGTGACTCGCCACAACACCTCGCCGCGAGGGATACGTGGGAAGCCTCGACTAGTCCCATGAAGCTTGGGAAGAGTGCCTGAGCTTGGCCAAATAATGCCAAACACACACTTCGATTCGAAGGTTCATGTCCAGTAGATGTTGCAGTCCTGAAGTATCCTGCGTCCCATAGACCAGGGTCAAGCATGTCGCGCAGTGACAACGTCAGGTTTGTGCCTTCCGGGGCGACATGAAGGACTGATGATATCTGATGATACCTGATGATATCTGATGATATCTGATGATATCTGATGATATCTGATGATACCTGATGATATTTGATAAGGACTGTCCCTACTCCTGCGCTCCAGCCCAGCGGCGGAAATCCTTAAATGGCAAGCGCTGGGCCCATGAGCTCAGAGCCTCTGCAGCCTCTGCCAACCTGCCCCCCACAAACACATAGGCCCCCCCGCGTCCGAAGGCTCCCCCAAAGCGATTCTCCTACTATGCGAGCACGCTGTTTTGATCATAGTCCCCACTTTCATGAAAGCTCCCCTCCTGGGGCCGCAACAAGCGGAGCCAAAAATTGCATTCGCCTTCCAGGTCTCACGGGCGAATGCGACGTTCAAGTGGGACCCCCCTTTCGCCAGGCATACGTTCATGTAATTCATGTATTTCGGAACCAGGGTTTGTAGGACGGTGTAGGAGTGCGGTGCTTCAGGTTATAGATATGGTTTAGGACCGGGGTATCTGGGCGGATGCAGCGACGCCCTCGCTCAGGATGTGAACACATCACCCGCAAAGACCCGAGCAAGATCCCTGCCAAAAAGAGATCGAATGGGCCATGGCTTATGTCAAGTGGTTTCTTGTGGGTTCTTGCTGGTTCTTGCCAGAAGTTCTTTGCTGGTTCTTGCCAATTCCACCGACAGGTCCCCGCGGAAGTCAGGCCAGCTATAGACGACGAATCCGTGACGAGGCTCCCGGAGGCCTTCGGAGCCAGGCCTTTCTCTGGCCTGGCCTGGCCTGGCCTGGCCTTCCTGGCAGAAATCATTTTAAATCTACACATATGTATCATGAAAAAATATAAATAAGTACATATATATATATATCATATATCATATATCACATATCACATATCATAGATCATAGATCATATATCACAACCTTTTCTTTTGCCTACCCCTTGTCCTTTGCCCTTGGACAGAGGATGCAAGCAGTGTCTTGGCGCTCTGCATGGTTTTCCGTGTTTTTCTTGCTTTTCTTGTAGGTTCGAGTAATTTTCCTTCAGATCCTGCAGCGGGCCACGAGACTAGCCATGGCCAGCTGGGATAGGTATGGCGAGGACAAGAAATATCGGAAAGACGTCGACATGAATGACAATCCCAAGCGTCTTGGCCCGACATGGGCTTGGTTTTGCAAGTTGTTGCTGGTGTGGTCATGCGGTGCTTTTGCAGTCTACTGAGAGACGACTGTAGTCAGCAAGTGCAGCTGAGGCATGTTGGTGAGCCGCTTAGGAAGCTGACCTTGGAGGACCGGCTCGAGCTGCGCCGGCAGACCCGCGAGAGGGAGAAAAAGCGGTCGGTGTTCGCGGAGATCGATGCCGCCGAGGAGAGCGACGAGCTCGTGGATGACAGACCTGCCAAGAGAACCAAGTCTGGTGGGGAGGTCAATGGCATCTGGGCAGCAAGTAGATTCCTCATGTTTCCCTAAGGTTTGTTTGTCCACATTGACTAATTGAGGCGTATCCTGTTTATGGCATGCTGCTTTTGTGAGGCGAGCACACGCCAGATCTGGACATCGTCACCGTGGCCACCAACGGCAAGACCAACGGCAAGGCCAAGGAAGTCGTCGACCTGGCCGATGACGACATTGGCAAGCGGGCCGCTGCCATCCGCCGGGCCAGGAGGAGGGCCATGGCCCAGGCAGCCAAGGCGGCGCCTGCGCCCCGAGCGCCCCCGCCTGCTTCCTCGCCTTCCATTGATCCAGAGGTGGAGGTTCTGGAGTGAAGGATGGTGGAACCCCTGCTCTCCCCTTGGGGCGGGGGCAGGGGATGTCCCCTGGTCCTTCTTTTCGGAAAGGAGTGGTTCGGGCCACTTTGTCTCCACACATGCTCTGGATTCCTATGGCAGTCTAGGGAATACACCAATGGAGCAACTATGCAATTAAATCAAAGGAAGAGGTTACTCTCTGGGTCCGGATTGCCAATCTGGCAGGCTTGGATTACAGAGGAGCTCTGGGGTTTGGGATGCTTTGAGGCTCTGCTCCTGCGCAGTGGTTTTGTCGTGGGGGCCGACCCTTCGCACACTGTGACTACGGGCCCAGACCCAAACGGACGAGTTCAGAACGGTTTCACATGCAAGCAGCAATGCAGCATTGATCCCCCTGACCTTCGCGTCATGCAGGTCCGGAAAAATCAACCCGAAGAAGCCTACGGCCGAGCTCCGGAGTGCCACATTTTCGGCTTCAGGGATCTTGGCTTAAACGTCTCGAACTCCGACAAAATCACCGAAGCCATCCGAAGCCACTAGATTACATATTCTTCAAAACTCAAGTTAAGTGTAGAATTCCTGCGTGGCAGATTGCATCTGCCATCCAGGAAGGCGCTGTGCAGTTGAAGGCGTCGCATCTCAAGGTTGGCAGTGAGGTGCGCATGTCCCTATAAATGAAAGGCCTACACCTGGCATGTGAATACAGCTTAGAGCACTCTTGTAGCCATAGCTTGGCGCTTGGGATCCTATCTCCGCCATTTGCAGCCTTGAAGCATGCGGGGCACATGCTCCGCTCATCCATAGGAAAGTCATTTTGCACTGGCCACCCAGAACTCGTCCAACTCGTCCTCGCCTCAGCCGCAATGGCGAGGGTGATTGGGGCTTTGTGGCACATTGGGGGTTTGCCCGATGTTTGTGAACTCAGTGGATTTAGTGACTTAGTGGATGTACTTGTGTTGGCACTTGTTTTTCTATTCGAGTCGAGCACTCGTCATCTCAAGAGAGTGGAGAGGAGCCCAAATGCCCCCAAATTTTCGCGGTAGGCCACACCCTATGTAGAGAGAGGTCCCAATGCGTGAAGCTGCATGACGCAAGGCCTGCCGAAACAGCCCGAAACACTCGAGTGACCCTCAAGAGTCAACTGCATCTTTGGCCTACAGTGCATTTGGTGAGTGTCCGGGCCGGCGCGGTTTCCACGGCAAAAGGTGTGAGATTGCAAGGAGCCCGTGCCATTTGTGGGTCATCTAGCTCGGGCTCTTGGGGAGGGTTTGGGTTAGGCTTGGGGGCTTCATTCAAACTTTGGACTTGACTTATGTGGGGAGGGGGCGGGGGGGGGGGTGGCCTAGCTGGTCCGGGTCTAGCGCTTCGTGTCGTAGGGCTCCCTGCAGTCCGGTTTGCATGTGCACCACGCGCGCTTGTAATCCCAAGGATTCATCGTTTAATGTGTGCATTTGACACATAAAGTTCAACTGTCAAGCTTGGTCGATCTCGATGATGAAGGATTTAGCCTAATTTAAACCACTACTAAGAATGATGATTCTGAACCAGGCGTCCCATTCTTGTTCCCTTGAAACTCTGGCTCCAAGTTAAACACGCAGACTGCCCTCACGCAGGAGCCTACGATGATCTACGACGTGAATAGCCCGCTCTTCAAGCAGTTCCTCTCGGAGAAGGTGGGCACAGTGTGAATTGTCCGGTCTGAGCTAGTCGGCAGAGTGTCTCTGCAGTGTTTCGGAGTGCGCACAAAAATCATGTCTGTCGCTGAGTGTTTCAACACTTCGCATGCGCTCATGTGCTTGTGAGCTGTGTTGCCATGAGATGTTTTCGGCTACAGATCGCTAGCCTGAACGAGTCCCACCAGAGGACGAAACACGTGTGTCTTATTCAACAGTACAACTTCGCACTACCTGGCTCAGGTGGTTCGCAAGACGGCAAAGGACAGACTTCCTCCGTGTGTGAGCTGGAGATAGCTGCTAGCTCGAGGTTCAGGGCTGCCAGAGATGCGCTAAATTAGACACGGTCCCCGATCGAAAGAATCGGACTGCAGGGGGCTGGGACGTCGGAAGTCTGGAAGCAAAAGAACAGAGAAGGCGGCAACAGAACAGAGAAGGCCGCCGCGAAACCGCACAAAATATTTGATGAAAGCGTCTGAGAATCTCTGAGATCTCTGACAATCTCGTGCCCCAGTCGAAGCAGGCTCGAGTACCTGTTTCCAATCTGGTCCTATTGTTCACTTATAGTCCTAGTCCGAGAGTTGAGAAAAGGAGCGTGTTGTTCTTGAAATATGTAGCAGCCTTGGGTAAAGAAGGGGCCATCCTGGGGCCCAGCGTTATTGTTCCCATCGGCCGCAGGACAAGGACAAGGGCGCGGGCGCAACTAAGGGTGCAACGGCTGGCAAGGACCGAAAGCCATGTGCCGGACCTTCCCTCCTTTTTGGGTGTCGCTTTTTGTTGGTGTTCTTGGGGCCTGGGGTGTCAGAGGATCTTGGGGCCAAAAATGGCTGAATCATTCTTACTTGCAGAAGGATCATGCCTGCCTGTCGTGCTTTGATCTGAAGCTGTCCAATGTCCACCCAAAAACCGGCACAAAGCAGGATCGGGCGATGGCGCATCCCGCTTCGGTAGGCTGCTAGTGACTGGCGGCGCGGGTTGTGGAGAGGAGGTCTTCTGGCCCGAGAACGAAGCTGTTTCGAAGTACCCCAAGCACTATAGAGTACTCTTGACTTTGCCAAGACTTGGGAATCCGGATTTGTGGGTTGAAATTTTGGGGCTTGTTAGTACTCGTAATAGCTGATAGCTTCTAACGGAGGCTTATGCTCTTGGCATTCGCTTCGACACTGGGGCTTCCAGGGCGGCGTCTGGGGTTAGATTGCGACGCAGCGTCATGGGCAGACACTCCGCCCGCAGCCTGAGTAGAGCGTGGGTTCGCTGCAGGAATTCTTAAATGGACATCCGGATCTTTCGCCTTTAAAGGGCCCTTCATGAAAGCCTAATTCAGAGAACCAGCGTCATCGCGACATCGCAGCCATGTCAGTCTGGACTCTCACATCGTCTTACGTTGAACGCTGCTAGGTGCAAAGGGCAGGGTGGCCCCGTTTCGCTGCAGTAGTTGGTTTTTGTTGATCCCCGGAACCCCTGCATTCCCTGCATGCCTAGAGTCACCAACACAAGAACTTACCCCAAGTACTCAGTACCCGGGCTTAGGGAGTTGCTTTCTTCTAAGGCTCCTAGGTCCCCTATCAAGAAGGGGAAGCGCGTTTTGAGACTCATGTTCTCCTCGGGGGGCTTGCAGGAAGCCCGTGAAGCTCTAATACAATTCCACAGCCTGCAGTGCCCACTTGAGTTTGCCAGAGCGGTGAGGGTGAGAGGCTGCGCCACTGCTGAGACACGGCCACCGCCAAGCTAGTTCTCTCCTGTCAAGTGGCCCTGATAGATCAGAGGGAGGCAGCGCGCAGCCTCTTGAGATCGGAGATCATGGACAGCTGGCTGGGGCCTGATAGCCCCTGACATATCCAGACTACCCCATGGTAGCTAAGCCCTTGACATGGAGGTCGCTGCAAGGTTACACCAGCAAACTCGCGGGACAGCTTGAGATGTTTCCTCTGGGAGCATTGGCTCCATCAGATGTTCTTCAATTCATTTCAGCCCCAAAAAGGTTTGCCGCTGTCAAGTCGGGGTGGCACGAGGGCCCTGGTCAATCTGGAGAGCGCCCTGACGCTCATGGAAAGAGGGCAGGAAACACTTTTGACGCTGTTCGGGTTCCGGCAGTCTTGGAGTTCCGTGTGTAGGCGAATAGGTTCTGTTGATCCCAGCTCCGGACACGTAGGCAGTCAGATTCCATTAGAATCCTTAAGTGAATCCTTTTCCTTGAGCCTGCTTTACCATTGCTCTCCCTCGCCTCGCGCCATCCTGCCATTTGCGGCTCGGAAGAGGGGTGGGATCTCCGGATCAGGTCACGGCCCATGGAGAGGGCCTCATCAGCCTAAATCCGGCCCGAGAAAAGACATGTGCCCAGATGGTGGGCTGAGCTGAAATTCATGCCCACTTGCAACAGATTGCCTCGGATTGCCTCGAGCTACAGTCTTGAGTCTTAAAGCCCCACCTTCAACCCCACCTTCAACCCCAGAACCGAATGGTTCAGAATCATCTGCAGCCCAAGCTCCACAAAGCCCACTCGAGCCCAAAGCCCAAAGAAGCCCTTAAACTCTTAAACCGCCTCTTCTGCTAATGACCCGATTGCCTTGCCGGGCAACACGCCTGCTGGCATTGATGCCAGAGGCTTAGGGCCTTGGGCCTTGGGTGATTGGGTGCTGAAAGCCGTCTTAGGGATGTTGGAGTTACGACGGACGCGTTGACCCCCGCTCTTTGTTATGGCCGTATGAGACCTTTCCCTTTCGGGAGCCTTTCTGACGCCGAGGCCCTTGCACTGCCGGCGGCCATGGTGGGCGAGACGGAAGGCAGGGAGGGCTTCGGGGGCCAATTCTTGGGCCTCTTGGGTGAATGGGGCTTGTTACACAAGGTTTATTTTGATGGGGCAGTCGTCCGATTTGGGGTTCAGTTCTTCGTTGGCTGAGACCTGCGGCTCTACAGTTAGTGCTGAAGTTCTGATGGGCGTGTCTGCACCGCCTGAGCCGCCTGAGCCAGGGTTGACAGACCCGGCGCGTCTCGCTCAAGTCAGACACTGAGTTCCGGACATTCTTGGGGCGATTTATACGGATTCGACCTGGATCCAACGGATGCTTTGGCCGAGAGCCGACAATCAGATAAGAGGAAGTCCTTCAATTCGATGCATCCATCTTTAGGAGCCATGCAAAGCTGCATGTTGGGGTGGGCCCTCTGAGCCCTAAGCGCATCCGAAGATCCTCAAGCCTTCACGGCTGCTGCACCATAGAGACGGTCGCATTCAACACACCAAGGCCGACGAACGCTTTCGAAACAGGTGGCGCTATGGTTCGAGTCTCAACAGGGGCCCAGATCGGCCTCAGTGATCCCTTAAACATCGCGCCAGGTTTTAATTAG